GGTGTGATCTATTATGAGCTGCTAAAACCTGGTCAAACCATTAATACTGAACGCTACCGACAACAAATGATCGATTTGAATCAAGCTTTGCGTGAAAAACGACCAAAATATAAAAACAGGCAACAGTGATTTTGCTTCATGATAATGCATCACACACAGCAAAACTGGTCAAGGAAACGATTGAGGCGTTTAGTTGGGAAATACTTTCGCATGCGGCTTACTCACCAGACTTGGCTCCGTCCGATTACTATTTATTTGCATCGATGGGACACGCACTTGCTAAGCAGTGCTTCACTTCTTACGAGAATGTACGAAAATAGCTCGATGACTGGTTTGCCTCAAAAGAGTAACAGTTTTTTTGGCGTGGCATCCACAAATTGTCAGGCAGGTGGGAAAAATGTATAGCTAGCGATGGGCAATACTTCGAATAAAATATTTTTTATCATTTTCATACAATAAACAATACAATGTATTTTCTATTCAAAAATTCCGGTTTTATATTTACATACCTGGTAAGTACAGGTGAGGCTTTCTCTATGTTGCGTTCTCCTACAGGACGTAATACATTCAAGGAATTCTGAAAGGAGCGAAACAGATGGTAATCTGAAGGTGCAATGTCTGGAGAATACGGAGGATGTGGTAAGACATCGCAGCTTAGTGCTAATAATTTTTACCAGGTTTGTAGAGATGTGTGCGGCCTAGCGTTGTCATGGTGAAATACAACGATTCACCAATTCTGGACGCTTCTCGTGGATCGCTGCATTCAATTTATTTATTTCAGCTGACTGCAGTACACATCTGAATTGATCGTTCCTCGGAAGTAGTTCGTAGAACACAACAGCCTTCCAATCTAAATTGAGAGCATGATCTTGCTCGGGTGAAGCCCTGCCTTCGAAGTGGTTTGCTGCGCTGCTTCTACGATCTTTTATGTTATTGTAGACGTTCCATTTTTCGTCGCCAGTTACCATACGCTTCAGAAATGCATCGCTTTTCTCACGTTTTCCGAGTGATCGCTGATGGAAATGCTTTGGATTAAATGAGCTTCGCTCAGTTCGTGCGGAACCCAAACATCGAGATTAACATCGGTTAACATAACCAAGTTAATGCAGATGATTTTCCACGCTCGATTTCGATATTTGAAGAATGTCTGCAATCTCCCACGTCGTGTAATATGGATCGTGTCGATTACCGTCTTCAATTTGTCGCTGTCGATCTCATTTGGTCGGCCTAAGCGTGTTTTGTCGTTGACGGAAAAATCTCCGCAACGAAATCTCGCAAACCACTTTTGGCACACGCGTTCTTTTACGGCATCCTCACCATATATTGTACAAATCTTTTTACAGGTTTACCTTTTTTAAAATAAAAAAGCATAATATCGAAAATGCTCGTTCTGATTATCCATTTTCAGATGACGCAAAACACGCAAGATATACAAGCAATCTTTACGTATATTTTTTAAATGCATATTGTTGAAATGTCATCTGTGAATAACTATACGCTTTCAAGACTTTTGACTGAAGATAAAGCTTAGCAGAACGCTTTGAAGCCATCTATCGAGAAAAACCGCATGGACTTATTGGCCAATCCAATACAAGAAACGTAGATACATTTAAAAAATATAATCTCATCCTTAGTGGAATCCTTACAGAGTATCAGAAAAATTTTGACACAGCCGTAGTAAGCAGATAGATTGTATCACAAATTGAGTAAAAAATTTTCATACTATTTTTTAAACAACATAAATTTTCGAAATATTGATTTAAAAAATGGGCGAATCAATGTGTATGATGTGAGACGAGCTTTGTCTTATCAAGAATGAAATACGATTGTCTTTTAACGATACGCGCATGGCATGCTCGTGATGTCAAAAAATAATTGTTCACGTATTGCTTGCATTGTTATTCCGCCTTCAGCTGTCAGTCGATGATCACTATCGCTAAGAGGTAGTGCACTATCGCAATCGCGTCTCAATCATTTCTGATAATATGGAATATGAGATTACAGGAAATAGCAATTTCTAACTAAAGTTCTTTATTTTGTGTTAGAATATTTTCCTTTTGGTTTTAGAAAAATTCTCTTGAAGCTATAACATAAAAGGATTCCGTTAAGGATGAAATTATAGTTTTTAGATATAATACTGGAATTAGTTTGAACCATGTGAAAATAAATTAAACGTATTGCATTTCATAGTAAAGCAACAACGTATTACAAATTAATGATATTTTAGTTGTAATCGACTATCGCTGTAGATCTCGAGGATTAGGATCTAGATTGTTGCGTGGCATGGAAGAATACGTGGCGAAAAGGGGTCTAAAGAATATTTACTTAAAGACAGACGGCCAGGAAGTGTTTTATTTTAAGAATGGATACAAGGTGTGCGATCCGTTTAAAGCGTATGGCATTAACGACATCATAACTGCTAGTCCACCCTTCGGTAGGACAAAATTCAGAGAACAAAATGGCGATCATTCTGCTAGACAACCACTACCGCCACCGCCGTTACCGTTACCATTACCGCTGTCGTCGTCATCATTGTCGCTGACGCCGCCACCGCCGCCACCTCCAATGCCAGCATTTCAACTATCGAAATTTTTCGATATGCGAATGTTGTCTAAGAAAACACATATGGTAAAGAAATTGTGATACTAGCATTATATTCTAAATACTTTATGACGAAATGCTTGTCATATATATCTTGTATTCGTTGACTCCACTATTCATGATGATTAATGAAGTTACTAAGTACTTTCAGATAAATATAATTATCTAATAGAACATAAAGAAACAGAATTAATCATAACAACAAACAAAACAAACGATTTAGCGTATTATATTTTTAGACAGAACTTTGGTACTTTTAATTGAAAAATTACATAACTATTGGAAGTACAAATAAGTCTCCGCCGTTTGACAAAAGACGGCCCCACCAGTAAGTTATGGTTGAAATTGTCAGATGTAAAACGTCATATCGTAAGGTTGGACATCTGGACAACACCATAACCTTGAAATATTAGCGATTTTGTATCAGCATCACATAATTTTTTTCGTGCGAAAATGTCGAGTTTTGAGCCGAATAAGCGTCATTTGCGGGAACTTTTGATTTAAACTTCTTTAATTTGAAGAAATCTGCAGCTGAGGCGCATCGATTGCTTGTAGAAGCATATGGTGAGGCTGCTTTAAGTGACAGAAGTTGTCGTGAGTGGTTTCAAAAGTTTAAGAACGGTGAATTTGACGTCGAAGACAAAAAACGTAGCGGAAGGCCAAAAGTGTACGAAGACGCGGAATTGGAAACATTATTGGAGGAAGATTCGTGCCAGACGCAAGAAGAACTTGCACTTACATTAGGAGTGACTCAACCCTTACAGAAATATCATACTAAAAATCATTGATTAATTACTTATTTTCAGTATTAAAAGTACAGTATTTAGTAATATTCTGTGATTCAAATACAGCTTTTAGTACTCAAGTATTTCAATATTTAATGTTACAAATCCTACTTTATGATTGATTTCAATACTTAAATATTGATATGTAATACTTCGTCCAGTGATAAAATACTTACGCAGAACATTGTTAATATTTAAATACTAATATATAATACTTTGCTAAGTGATGAAATACTTACGCAAAGTACTGTTAAGATTAAAAGTATTAACCCAGACAGCATACAATATTAGTAAGTTATTAGATAAATATTTATAAATATTTATTTTGAATTACTTTTTAAAAATATTATATATATATACATAAAGAGAGAGGAAAAATTATGAAAATCTATATTCAAAATATTATTAAAATATAGAAATATCTAAATATTTTCCATAATATTTATTGTAAACAAAAAATTAATATTTTAAAATAAATATAATTTTTAAAATAAATATTTCTATAAATATCGCACACGAAAAAAATAAATATAATTATTTATAATTATTAAATTAATAAAGAAATAAGAAAATTGAAATTTAAATTGGTAATGTACATTAGAAAAAAATTCTTTAAATGAAAGAAATATATTTTGTTACATATAATTTCTTAACTTAAAAAAATATTTGTTAAATTTTAGAAAATATATAATAAATATAAAGAAATATTTTTTTAAATTTGTAAAATAAGCTGTAAAATTATGAATTTATAAATAAAAAAAGTGATTTCTTTGATTTAAAATATCTATATATAAAAATAAACAAGTGATTTCTTTACAAGGAGAAAATTAGTGTTTTTAAATGTAAAAACTGTTTAAATAAATATTTGCTTGTTTTAAAAGTAAATAAAATACAAGTAAATCATTTTATAAATCTGAATAAATTATTTTCTAATATTAAAAGTATTTTTTTATGTTTCAAATTAAAGTTTCTTTTATTATCAGAAAAAAATTTATTTAAATTTACAAAATAATTTATTTTACTTACTTTTAAAACATGTAAATATTTTTTAAACATACTTTCTACATACTTTTTGAAACATATATTTTAAAAGAATCTATTCTCTTTTTTTAAATAAATCATATGCTTTCGTATATGGATATACCATATGTACACAATATAAAGCGTCTCTCAATCAAAGTGACAGTGACGCAATAGGTAAGATGAACGACACAAGAATCAGCCCAAGTAACAGACTCACGTCAAAATGATGTAAAAAACTGGTCATAACTGATCGAATGACGTCAAGTGACTAAATAACGACGTCTTTAAAACGTCTTTTTTGTGACATCTTAATGACGTTTCTGTATAACGTCTTAAAAATGTATTATTGACGTTTAGATATATCATAAAACGTCATTAAGTCGTCTAAAATGTCGTCTATTCTCTTTTTTTTAAATAAATTATATGCTTTCGTATATGGATATACACTGCCGTCGAAAAGTTTCCGGACAATGTCTACACCTAAAATTTAAGTCTTCTCGCGTTTTCTCGAGGCTTCTCGTATTAGTTTCTCTTTAGCAGTATTTGACCTCATGGTATACCCAAACTATTTACACAACATACATAAGACTCGACCTGTCTATGCGCCGTTGCTGCGTAACACTAGTGATCCATTATTATTCGGAAATCAGCCTAGCGTCACAGTCGAAATTTTGTCTTGACTAAACTGCTCTGTAGTATTATTCTCGTACTCGACTTCACAATATCAGTTGTTTACATTGATAACAGAACATACTGGTAAGTATTTTAGCTACTGTTGTTATTTCATTTGTGAGTTCAAATCGAATTTTTCAAAGAACACTATCATATAGTATTTTTCATTTTTTTTTCAAAGAAAATGGGTCGAGGGCCTAGTTTAAGCATAGAAAAACGTGCAGCAGTTACTGCGCTTCACGATGACAGTCGCAGCATACGTTATATTGTGGAAAAATTGAAAATATCGTGGTCCACCGTAAACGATGCTATTACGCGCTTTAAAAAAACCGGCTGTAACAAGGACAAGGCTCGCACCTGGAGGACTTGAGTTACTTCCAAATCAGAGGATAAGTCCCTAGTTTTAATGTCAAAAATGAATAGAAAGCTTACCGCACCGGAAATCCAATCGCGGTTCAATGAAAATCATGAACATCAAATATCGGTGACTACTGTCAAGGATCGTTTGCACAAA